ACCCTGGAATTTGAACTGTATCCAAATACTCTTATTCAGATAATCAAATCTGGTTAAACTCTTAAAAGGCAGATAAATTTCAGTATTCTGATTATTTCAGTAATCTGATTGTTTTTTTCTCCTTGTTTATTTGCTTTTAATCAGTAAGGGAGAAAATAAGGAGAGGATGTTCTTAGGGGAGGAATCCAAGACTAAGTAAGACACCTGCCCTTGAGCTAGGAAGTCTCCATAACTGTATTCTGCAAGTGGCATTAGCCATAGCAATCTAAAAGAGGAGAAGAGAGATGTGCTCCAGCTTGACTGCGGAGACTTTGGTTGTAGATATCTGCATATCATGATGAAATACAACCTCTCCATGCCACCCTGGAAGTGGCACCAAGTTTTGGTACAGCTTCCTGGCAGTCCTATGAGTTCCTTTGCTTTTCAGCATGTACGTAAAACCAGTCTTGGCTCTGGATCCTTATCATGCTGTGCAGAATCTCAAACAAGAGCATTCAGCCTGGGCTCACTGAGCTTCACACCAAAAGCATAGGGCACTGCTCAATAACAGAGCAAAAGGACCTAAGTTTTGGGGCCATTTAGAGCCTTGCAGCCCTTTCCAGCCTTTGCCACCTTGCCCATGAATGTCCCTGACTGACCCTAAGAGCAAGCATCTGTGTCATGTGTTGTCTTACCCAGAAGTGATGCCGCACTCCAACTGCTGACAAAAAGCTATATATGGGTCAGGAGTGACAGCATGGCTACCCTTTCCCTAGAAATTACCAGATATTGAAATGTGATATTGAGTAAATGGTGAGATTGATGTAACTCTTGCTAAAAGTTGTGGCAGAGACCATTTTTGTCATGTGTTGAAAACTTCTGGGTGGCTTTCAAAACATATACTGGCTCTGCATTTCAGCTGCGCCCAAATGAGGGTTCTTTCCTTCTTTTGCAGTCTCCTGATATTCCAGCCCTCTTCAGCCTATCTGCCAGACTTCTAGGAGAGCTCTCTGAGTTAGAGTAAACCTTTGAACCTCTTGAGGTTCCTCATCACAAACAAGTTCTAGTAACAAAGAACGGGTGAGATGACCAGGAGGAATCATGTCAGCATTTCCATTGTACAGTCTCTTCTGCCTGAGGCTTGTGAGAGTTAGATATAAAAAAGATCACTCCAGGCTGATATTTAGCAGGCAAGATTTTAGCCCTCACACTGGAACAATATCATTTGTGGGCTTGTATTTACTTTCTTTCTCAATGACTTAAGGAAATACGTTTGCTTCAGGAGTATTTTCTGCTTTCCACCCCCTCCTTGGCTAGCCCAGCAATAGCCTGTCTGGGATCTGAAAGTGAAGGTGGGTTCTTCTTTCTACATCATTGACATCCATAAAGATTCAAAGCCAAATCTCAGCTGATGATTGTGCTGATAATAATAACAAAATATAATTCAGCTTTCTTGAACCCATCTTTCCATTGCTGGTACTCTTTGTTCATGCCTGTGAAGTCTATAGGAGTGGTCTGTAAAAGCACACAAAGTGTGGTATAGCTGCAAGGGATTAATATATGAAGCACTGTTTTCTGTATCATTATTTAGGCATATTGTGCCCTCTGAAATCCTGCTTTTCTGTGGATGGTGACTAGATTGGTGCTTTTCATTGAAGCAGATTTTGAAAGAATGAACTATTCCAGCCTTTCAATCCTCAGAAATCAGTTCTGGATTTGAATTTTGGGGGAAGTTACAGGTAAAATTTGGGCTCAGGTAGTATAAAGCAGGGGACACATGTTTCTCAGTCCTTCTCTCACCTGAAGTTCATGGAAGGAACAGGCAGTGAAATGAGTCTAATTCCTAGTGCAGACTAAAGCTTGTGCCTTGATCTAATGCATTCTGAGGTCAGTGGCAAGGGCTGTTGTTACCTTCAGAGATAGAAACCCTTGATCTGTTTGGGAAGAACTGCTACAATGGCATTTCCTCTCCATTTGAGAATAAGCATTCGTTGCACATGCATTCTGTCTCCTGTGATAAGACAGCACTCTTTGTCATGTTTACTGTATCTCAGAAATCAGAGGGTTACACTAAGTAAAGGAACAGCGTTTTTCGATTACACTGTTACTTTAAAATACAACTTGCTGGGCTGGGACAGAGATTTCCTTTTGTCCACACAAGTGTGAAATCATTTCTGTGACTCTGAAAAAGCAAGAGGCCTAAAAGGGTTCCCAAACAATAGGCGCTGCGGTACATAAACTGATACAGGAATGCACAGCTCCACATGTAACGCAGTTCTCCCTGCCACAATATTTAATAGGAACTTCCATGACATCGATACGTATCGTAATTGAACATTGTCATTAGATTACATATTTACTGTAATTACATAATTAGGTATGATTGTGCTAATTGGATAAAGACATAATTGACAAAAATCACCAGAAAACAAACATGGAGATTCATGCCACCAAAAGAAAGTGTCTTAATAGCACTAGCGCTGTGAATCTCTTGCTCTCCTCCCAGAAGAAGGATGTTTATAGTACATAGGAAGTTACTGAAGAGCCAGGCACTGACAGATGTTGTGAAGGTGCAGAAGTAATGGCAATGAAATGACTTCTGTTTTAATATTTGATCTCCTTTCCTACACTCAATACTTCACGTCAGCAGCAGCAGCAGATATTATAACTGATGAAATGACTAGATGCATGACACTTTTTTTCTGCTTGAAATTACAGTTCCTCTGGGATGCAAATACACTTTCATCTGTCCAAGCTTCAGCTGAGCTTACAGTGGTGTGAACAAAGTACCAGTAATTCCGAAGCCAAGCTCTCATAAATGGGGAAAATTTGCCAGGATAATCTATGCAGCAGACTGCAGAGATGTCTAAAATTTGACCAGAAAGTGAGTGAAGTGTCAGACCCTGGGACAGAAACTGCTTTAGTGTTTAGAGAATACTTCATCTTACAGTGTCATTGTAGTGCCCTGTAAAGCAAGCGTAGGTTAGACACAGGTTGACATAAAGACTTGGTTATTGCTATCACACTTGTGCAGAGAGGTCTTGGCATATGTGGGAACTTGGATGAGAATGTTTCCTCAGAGAGGACCTTCTCCCATCAGTTTCTGCTTGGACACAGCCACGGCACCATGGAACAGGTCATGGTACCTGCAGTGGAAGCCCATGTGCCAAGCGGGGCACAGCTCCCCAGCTCAATATAGTGACGGGGGAGGGAGCGAGAATGATCTTTGAATAAGATCCAGCACAGAGCTGACAGCTCAGGGATTTGTCAATGTGGTGATGAAGAGGAAGTTGAAGTTGTGATGGAAGAGCAGCAAGGAGAGGTGGCGAGTCAGGAACAAAACAGTCACAGTGGCATTCGCCAACCTGAATTTAGGTTATTTAGGCGCAAGGCAAGAGTAAGGGATCTTTTCATAAGGAAATCTGATTGCGTTAGTCTCAATGCACTGGTGATGTTAACAGTACTTTCCTTCATTAAACTGATCAGATATAGATAATATTTTTTGGTTTATGATGTGTGTAACATTTATGACAAGATTGAGATATAGGAAAATACTGGCGAGGGTAAGTTGTAGAAAATGGTCATAGCCATGAAATGGTCTAGTTTATATTGTGCAGTTTATAGCTGCAGAATAGGATGTTTCCAAAAGTCTAAAAGGGAGTTACATCTCCTGTGTCACGTAGAAATTGGGTGGGATTTGAGATTTTCCATCACCCTAAATGAGAACGCAGGTTCATTGGCTTCGTTAGAGGTACATGAGTTACATCACTGGATTTCATGGCAGAGGAGAGGTGTTCAGTGCACAAAAGTTATGATGTTGCATCAAGGAATTGGGATGATTTCAGGATGCTTTTAGACAGCAATAAAGCTCCTGGTTAGAAAACCAGGACCAGAGAGGCATGGTTTCCTTATCGTGATTTGTGGTTGGATCACTGGTCTAATAAAATGGTTAACAGTGACTCTTAGGGTACTGTACCATGCTGCTCACAGTGCATGTCTGCAGAGCCTATCAGGTCATTTACTGAATCTGGAGTCATGAGAAATTCCACTGACACTGTCAACATTATGTACATTCAAACCATGCAGAAAGATTGGGTTTTCATCAAACATTCTGAAGAGTGGTATTATTTCTCCCTTTCCTCCTTTATTTCTGGTCAGGCTTTGAATGTAAAGGTAGGGCAGTAGCTTTATTTGTAATCAGTGATGCTACTTCATCCTAAGAAAAGAGAAACAATCATGATGCCATCTATTCAGCACAGCCCAGCATTCGTTCACAGGGTTTGATTCCCTTGTAATCCCCTTCCAGCACAGGGCTGCTGTGCCTGAGGATGCATTCACCTGAGAGGCAGGATCTGAGGACCGATCCAGCTCCACTGTCTGCACTAGCATATTAAGACACTAATCCCTGTTTGTAAGCCATAATAAATAGGCAGCATACTGCTTTAAGTAATACCTTGGTGGGTAATGGGAATGACTCACAATGATAACATCCTGGTTGTTTGACTGTGAACTAATACAAGTTAAAAATGTAATGTGTTCCTTGTTAAGGGAACACTGTCTTATTCTGACTGCTGAGAGAGGCTCAGTGTTGCATTTCTAACCTCACTAATCTTAACAAGGCATTGGTGCAAGGGTAAAGTTTACTTAGAACTTTCTATCCTTTCTGCAGTTCTTCTCTCCATCCCACTTCTCCACTCATCCTTTATAAGCACTCAGGAACCATAGGCGCATGTTCCAAGGTCAACGTTGTATGTATTCAAAAAGGAAAAGACATGTTAGGACAAATTTCATACTAAGCCTTCTTAAAGTGCTTTAAAACAATGTACATATATGTTCTGTGCTGTAGTGCAGATGCATCTGCTATGGAGGGGGAAAAGGACTTTTTTGGCCAGGGACAAAATTCCTTCTTGTGTGAAAAGACGTGACCGTGTAACCACAGCTCATTGTGTCTTATCTATTAACATATACAGTGTGGGGAGTTGCATTTGGGTTTGGTGTCTTTTCACCAGCAAAGCATTTATTGCTTCTAAATTAGTGCACTGAGAATTCTGAGGCCTTTTTTTAACTAGAAACCCTGACATTTATGTCGGCTGTGGAGTGGTGGGTAGCTTTCAGCATTTTTGACTGCATGCATCCAGGTTGAGGTAGTAGGTTGTATAGTTTAGAATTACACCAAGGGAGATAACTGTACAACCTCCTAGCTTTCCTTGGGTCTTGCACAGAACGGCGTGATGAGCGACCATAATTCCTCAGCAATCTTTGCTCTGGACACATGGAACAGGAAAGAGCAGGTAAGATGAGCTGGAAAACCTTTTCTTTTCTTCTGCCTCTCTAGAACTTCAGAAATGTTCATTCTCTCAGCGTTGTTTTTTTTACCTATGGGTGCTGTATTACTGAGTTTTTAGCACATTCAGTGGACTAGTAATGCTTGTCTTCCTTTATTAGCATTCAAGCAGCGCAATGTGTAACATTCCTAAAAAGCACCATGGCAACTTATCAGTGTTATTGCCTTCACGGTCAGCAATCAGAAGTCTCCAAAGGTAACATGAAAAGCGTCCTGTATTGTATCTGCTATTGAGACGTGCAAGCAGGTTTCCCTTTCCACTAGTCTTTGACTGGTTCGGTTAGTTCTACACCAGGAGTTAAACAGGGCTGTACCCTGTAGCAGTACGAGACCTGGCACAATCATTGTCTCTCAGGAAGCGTAGGAGGCTGGTGCGGATGCTTCCAGATAAAGCCTGTAAGGGTTTCTCTGAAAGTACCTAAATCCACACAGTCCTCGGGAGAGCTGTTCTTAGGGAATATCCATTAGTGATCACAGTCAGCTAAATGATTCGTAAGGGTTTTATTTCTAGGCCCGTACAGTTCCATTAGGTGTTTCAAAGGCTGTAGCTCTGGACACATGCAATAGGGGTGGTTTGCTTCTCCCTCACAGCAGTTTGCATTCAGGACCCCTGGAACCACCCCAGATTTTGAGGAGGAGCTGTATGGAGAATGGGTAGACAGTGAGCCACCAGTTCTGGGCACAAGACCACATTTGTATTACATCTTACAAGTCTAAAACGCAGGGAATATACCTAGCTGCTATTGAAATCTACACTCTTATTTACCACAGTATTCGATGCCTAAAAACCCATTTGAAACTCTGGCATTTATCTAGTGAAGTCTGAACACAAGATTTAAGGTCTTCATGTTAGCAGTGTTCAAGGTTCAGGTCCCCTGGTTGCCTGCATGAAGATGGTGGCTGTAATGCTTGATCAGGGCCCAGAATATGTGCTGTGTTACGTCTTTCGACTATATATATATATATGACTAATTCTGGCAAGAGTTTTTGAGTTCCCAGAAATAAGAAAGACTCTTTGCTAGTGGGTAAACTTTCTAAGTTAGTGAATAAAAGTAAAGGGTAGGCACAGGATTTCTTTCATTAGGCTAATCTAAAAGTGTGAAAATGATAACAATATTTCAAGGTATCCAAGTAGCCCAGAGTAATACTCTTCTAGTAAAATGGCACTTTAATATCTGCAAATCCTTGCTTACTGAATGCAAAGAGAAGCTGTTGGTTTCTCAAGCATTACCCAGTGCTCAGTTATTAGTTATTCCAAGAGTGAATTAGTGGGACCTTATTTCATCTTGTTTTCAAAGAGGTTATAGATATCAATACCATGGTTTATAACTCTGCAGTTCCTTAGGACAAGGCAAGTATCCGGGCTAACACAACGCAGCTTCTGTGTTCCACAGAGGCACATGCACTAAACACATGCAGGTGGTTAAAAAAGAGGAATCTTTTTAGCACATTTTAGGCAGTACCTTATTTCCCCCCCATAAATCTTTTTGCAGATGGAAGTGCAAATTTTCAGCTGTAAATCCACAAGCTGCATTGATTCACATCCAATTTAGAGCTGTTCCATAAGGGCTGATTTATTATTTTTAACCTGTTTGGTTAGGAATAGCCTTATAAATGGGTGGTAGTAACTCCAAATAAGAACAGTCTCTCTTCGGTTTTGATGGTAACGACTCTGCTTCACACAGTTATAAGGGAACTTCATAAGGTCCGAAAATAGCGGTTGTCTATATTAACACACACGTTTGTGGCTATAGACTTTAAATATGTTAACTCAAATGGTCTATCTCGTTCCAAAGAACAAGGAATAATAATTAAAAAGGAGAATGGTCAGTGGTAAACATAATTCAGTGTGCATATTTTTCTTCTGAATAAAATAGCATTCCAGCTCTCCCCCTGATGAGAGGAATGTATTGTCAATTAATTAGACTTCCATCATATGTCCTCGGATGCCCTTCTATCGTATGCCTTCCATATGTCCTTATGTCATATGCCTTCCATATGCCCCCTATGTAATTAAGCTTCTATCATATGGCTTCTATCATATGCCATTTAAATAGATTTCCAGGAGAATGTGGCAGTGTTACAATTATGGACCTTTCGCAATGAGTAAAGGAACAACTCATGAGCTGTAGATTGAAAGAGGAGGAAGCAAAAGGGAGGTGGCTCACCCTAAACAGTTTCTTTAATTGCCAGTTTTGTTTCTCTCAGCTTGGGCAATGAACAGACAAAAGTGGTCTATTTTCCTTGTTTTCCATTACTCTTCCATCCCCAGTTTTTATTCAGCTAAGCCTGTGAATAGCTGAGGAGATAGCAACTGTTTTTCAGAGAACATTTCCATTGGAATGTAAAATGAAAAAGAAACCATCCACCTCCCAGGAAAACTGTGTCCTATGATAATGAAATGTAAGCTTTCATCTTGTTTTTATTCCTTTAAGGGTGTAACATAAAGTGAAGTACTAGAAATCTCATGGTGAGAGTATTAACGAAACTGAGATGGTACACTTAAGCGCACATCCCTGTTCTCCCTTGTGGACAACGGGTGCAGATAGTATTGTGCTTTTTTTGGCATGGTGATTGCTTGATAGACAGTGTCTTAATGTACAAGGATATGTAGTGAAACAGATCCCAAATTTACTGTGACTTAGTAAGGATAAAAACCAAAAATAAGCACTGATGCTTATATACGTAATGAAGAAAACTGCAAGCATCCGAGGAATGATGAGGTCTTGGAATGGCTTCCAATGAAAAGACAGCTAGCATGCTCGTTTGCCTTATGTACACTTGTGTATCTGTGCCTTCTTTCTTCCCAACAACTTCTGAGACTGTTTTCTAATCCCAGCCATATTTGATAGAGGACTGGTGACTTCCAAGACTGTTCTGCTCCAGCAGGCTTTATAGAAATGATAGCAATCACAGCCATATATCTATCAGTCAGGGAAAAGGTTGAAAGGACAAAGAGAAGGTAAAATAGTCATATGTGCTGAGGTGTCCAAACTATAAAATGGAGAGTGCTTTGCAGCATATGCCAGTTTACCTGGATTAACTGGATTGAATGAAGTAATGAGAACAGTTCAAACAGATTCCCACTGGCTAGTAACCAGCGTGTCCCTGAAGACTTTGTACTCCAGTTGCTAGAGCATGCTAAAACCCATACCATCATGACTTCACTGCTATTTATATGTGCTCTGCCTAGATTAAGATGGAATTTACCAAACAATGGGCCCTATATTTTGCTGTGTTAGCCACTATTTGTAATACAGACGCATTCCTGAAAAATAGGTGAAAGGTCTTAGTTTTGGCTTAATCCTTTTTAGTTTCAGCTCACTTTTCATTTAAAGCGTGCACACATCCAAAATAGGACCGGTCCATCTGGAAGCTCTAGGAAGAGAACGATTCATGTTGTGGTGCTGTACCATCATTAGTTTCCTGGTGCCACAATCAGAAACTGCATACTAAGGGAAGCCTTAAAGCCTCTTGTAGCGTACCACTGTAATTCTCTGTCAAGAATAACTAGCAAAGTCTTGTATTCAGGTTTGCTGGGCAGCAGGAAAATACTTGCAACACTGCAAATTATCTTTCACTTCTGTGTTTTCACCTGGCTATGAGGCAAGGGCTGTTCCTGGGACCTGCATGCTGTTCCTTTGGAAAGGAGACTGGAACTCAGAGACTTTCACCATTACAGGGATTTATTTTTTTTTTCCTTAAACAATGGCTTTCATCTATTTCCACACCCAGTTGAAACTATGCTGCAACACTTCTGCTGCTAAATCAGATGCAGTAAGTACAGTCAAATTTGTACATAAAAGTTTTGTAAGAACTGGGATGAAATAGAATGGAATGCCAGAATGACTCATTGTTTAATGAATAAGGCCCTAAGTGTTCTATTGATGCCATTTATAAATTTGTATAAAATGTATAGAATTCATGTCATAACTGGAATTCCAAGCGCAGCAACCTTGTGAGCTAAATTATGATGATGATAGGGTACTGCACAAATTAATACAAATTCTAACAGGCTTCTGCTTGAAAAATGCTCAGACAGTTAAAAATAAGACAATTTCATTACACAGATTGAAAGCCCAGACCTCAGAAATGCTGCTACTCTCTCCTTTGGAAATGGTAAATTACTGAAGAAGGAAGTTCTTTTGTGTGCGTTTGTGTGTGTGTGTGTGTTAAGAGTCAAAAAGTATAACCTATACAGGAAAACAGATGTCCTTTAATTAGATGTAGATATCAATTACAACGCAGACCACAACTGGAAAATGAAAGAATTAGCTGGTAGAGACCAGCCTAATATCTGGAACTCTTGTATTGAAAATGAATAGTCTGAGGCCAGAGCAAAGATCTGAACACACATCTCTAACTAACTTTTCCCTTCTCATTCTTACTTTTCCCTTTTCATAGCTTGGTGGCTGAGACAGGAAACCAGGTGAAGTTCAGCATTGCCAGCATGAGTTTTGGAGACAGGTTCTATATCCAGTCAGACTTCAGCCAGAGACAAACTTGTACAGGAGTGGTGTTGGATTTAACCTTGTGAGGAAAGGTTTCAGCCTAAACAGGAGCAGAAAGGAAATCTGACATCTGGAAATTTCCCATAGCAGAGGAAGATCCAAAAAGCTTTATTTGGGAACACCCACCCCCTTTCTTTCTTTCTTTCTTTCAACAAGACAAGACTTCTACTTGCCCTGACTCTGCCGATGCTCCAGGCGGTCCCAGTTGCATATGCTCAGATTTATATATTCAAAATATAAAATGTATTCTCCCTGAGCAAATAATTCTTTATATGCAATAGGGTGAAATTAGCCTCTTTGCGCAATGTCATGGCCCTGTTTCTTGGTTAAATAAGAATCAGGTTTCTGGGGCAGATATGGAAAGAAATTGAATTGCTGCATTCCATGTTACATGCAGAGACTTCTCTTTACCAGCACCTCTCCCTGCTTCCTTCTCAAACTTGTAGAAGACAGCTTCCTGCCCAGTTAGGTCATCCACAAGTGTCTGAGGTCTATTGCAAATGAAATACCACTGGCTGGATATACTCCAAGCAATAACTTCCTTCAAAGATGGGAAGAAGCTGCTGCTGCTCCTAAGGCTGTAGCCTTATGGGGAAAGAGCTGTCATCCCACAGGCAGGGGCTGCACCAGTGGCTGGAGCCATTCTCTGCCTCCTGCCAGCCACTTCTAATGTGCAAGCCCACCACACTCAAGACTCCATCCAAAGGTACTGTTCAAGAGCAGCATAGGTACAGCTACTATAGAGTCCTTGATTTCTGTTTTCTATCTACATTCTTGTAGGTTCCCACATTTAGGTAGCCAAACTCCTGCCCTAGAGGAGCACATTTGTTGGTCCAGGGTTTTCCCTTGCCCCTCCTGGGTCTGCATCACATGTGCTGCCATTTTTCCTCACACCCGTGCCAAGGTCTGATGACAAGGCTGTGATTTCTCTAAGCTTCTCTTTGTTACAGGTGTGACACGCAGCTCGTAGGGTTTCATTAGGGCTTTCATAATGTATTAAGGAAATGTCAGGATCGAGTAATTTATAATTAACAGTGACATGTAAATGTCATGTCTAACAATTGTAGTGTAAGAGTATTGTTTTGTGAATGGGCCATTTTTTACACATGCAACTGTCAAGGTCCAAAAAAGCCATCACCAGTCAGGCAAATGGTTGGTAAAGACAGATATATTTTCCCCTTTTGTTTACTCCTCACTGAATTCTTGATAGGCATCTAGACCTTGCTGCCTGTTGTTCCTGGATCCAGTACATATATAAAGCTCAAGCCATGACTGGAAGCATTTATGAACATTTTAGAGCTTGATCCTAATATAAACGCAGATGGATAAATCCCTGCACAATGCTGATGTGAAATTCATATGAGCACTGTCTGTATGAATTTTCAGTATGAGGGTGGAGCTGGTCTCCGCCATGCAAGAGCATGTCATACATGATGCTCTAGCTATCAGTGGCTGCTCTGCGATGTGGTGAGCTTAGATGTGGTGCTGCACTAGCAACATCCCTGCTGGCACCTCCACGTGGGTACTGGCTGGAGATCTGTGGTTGCAGCAGCTCAGGTTGGTGCTGGTTTTGGGGTCACTACAGTCAGTCCCCTGAAGAGTGTAGGCAGACCCTCTTATTCCTTAGCTTGAGGTTTAAGGAATTGTAAATAGCAGGTCAAAACCATGCCCAGATTAATGCCGCTGATGTGGGTTTATTTTCAAGTTTGTTTTTCTTGTGTTTGAAGTGGCCTCTCATCTCTTCTGACAAGGAACAGCCGTTGTGGCATGAGAGTGGTTTGCAGTAGCGGTGTTTGCAGTCTGTCAGATGCCACAGCTTCCCCTTGGCTTTCTACTTCCTTTCATAAATGAGGTGGTTAGATTTGAAGGGCAGGATTTACAAAAAAAAGAGGAAGAGAAGGAAAAGCAGGAAGGAAATGGGAAAGGAAGAAGGCGAGACTCGATTGCTCTCTGCTACACATCTTGTGGTTTGAGTTGGTTTTGGAAATTGCCCTTCCACGAGCTTTTGAAATGTGAAAGGGGAACTTATTTTATAAGAGCCCTAAGATATTTCAGTCACGTGTTTCCTTTCCTTTGTATGTGAGAATAGTTCTTGAATGCAAAGTTAAACAGCGTGGGTCTGAGTGGAAAAACTAAAATCAGTGTCCACTACTTAGTATGTCAGCAATGATGTAGTTAGACTGCTGAATCATGTCATGAATCACGTAGGGTTCTAGGATAGAAATCACTGGTCTGCAGTCTGTAACCTCAGTGCTGTAATAAATCCACAAGTGTCCTTCTGCTGGGGGCTGCATTTCCTAAAGTGGCTACTTGGGACTCTGTGTCTGTGATTCTATGATTAAAGAACTGTCATCTCTCCCTTCTTCAGTAGAAGAGGAGGGTATCCATACTCTGCTGGTGGAATCACTAGTGAAAGGGGTTCTACAATGCTCTGCTTATATTCCAATAGAGGGGCATCTTTTAATTGCCAATTCTCAGAGAATCATGCCATTTGGTCATCTTGGAATCTCTAAGTTAGCTTACAGACAAGCTCCAGGCATTGGGATTCAAGCCTGTCTGTAACAGCATTGCTCAAACAGTGCCTTGAGACCCATAGAGGCAGTGAATTCTGATACAGATCTTCAAGGTTTTGTTTGCTTCTTGCATGACACAGGCTGCAATCTCAACAGTCATTTGCTAATGATGAGGGTAAAATGGATCTCTCCTTTCCCTGGATAGCAGAGGGGGGTTTAAAACCTCCACTTGGGAAGTTCAAGGTTTGTAAAGCACCTCCCTTACTTGTTGTGAAGCCCTTGGTCTGCCTCACACCACATTGCATTACAGATTAAGGCAGGCTTCGCATTATATATTAACACAGATTTGTCCTCAGATACCCTACTGTGGAGAAGGCCATTTTTAAATCTTTAATAGGGCATTGGAGCAATGTGCCTGTGATTTAGTTTTAAGTGGGCAAGAGGAGTGGTGACAAATGAAGCTGGGAGGCCCTAAAATTCTTTGAATATTCCATGTTTTCCTGGAACTGTTGGGAAAAAGCTGCCAGAAAGGTCTTGGCAGGTTTTTTAGGTGGCCGGCCAAGTCTGAAGCAAATGTGGATAGTTAATAGGCTAAAGCAGCTCTGGTTCCAAGTCCATACATATATATAACATACGTTTTTATTTAAGAAATCCCACCACACGGAGGAGCAAATGTAGTGCTAATATATCTTCCTGAAGGAAAACAGCAAGGGAAAAACCACTGTCATCTTGTAACGATCAAATCAGAGATCTTTTGCCCTTACTTTTTAGGGACTTGAATTGTCAGCTGAAGAAGAGAAGAAGTAGGAAATGAAATCAGTAGACAGGCAGTGGCTTTCCCATGAGGGCCCCATATTAATCAGGAATGGCTTATATAGCAATAGCTTGCATCGAAGAAAAAAGGCATAAGTTGTTCAAAGAATGGATTTCCGTTCCTAGATTGACTTTGTGTTGTTGCCATGCAAGTAATTAAAAATGGTAATTAAGCAGGAAAGCGATCAAGTAATGACCTGGGACCTGCTGCTGCAGTTGCTTCCATGTGGACAGTGCATTCTAGCACGAAGCAGGAGTCTGCCTCTGTGGGTCTTAATTGTAAGAATTAAGTCCTGCTCCTGAATTATCTTGGGTATAGGCTCATTTGGGAGGTGTTTCTGTGTGTGCCAGGGTCAGAATCATGGTTCTCTGTGGCCACAGGCACCTATGGAATAGGTGTTTACTGTGAGTTGTTCTGGGGATGCATGAGTCCGGATTTCACCGAGACACCAGGTGAATTACCTTTGTAATCCTAAAGTTGTCTTCACTGCAAGGGATTCTTGTTTGAACTCAGTTCCTGGGGCCTGTGTTGTTTTATTATTAATGGGGTGAGGACTGTGCACAGCCTACACCGTTACAGTGGAACAATTATTATATCTTTTATTAAGCCATTGGTGCAGACCCTGAAGTTCTGTTAACAGACTTCCTATGAGGTCTTGGCTAAGTCTTTCTGCTTATTCACTGTATATAAAATAGAGGTCCTTGCTCCTCATAAAGACAGAGGAACTAACCCTATCTGAATTGTGCAGAGGCAGTCATGTTGTATGTCATACTGGAATTTCAAGTGAGCTTTCTGTGTACCTCTGTGAAGTAATGTTTCATATGGACACCCTCCATGCTGACATACACATTCATTAGCTGTGCAGAGTTAAAGCTGACAATATTTACAATCTAATACTCCTTTTACACAGAATCAACTTGAAATTGTTATTACACTTTAAAAATCCTAATTAATATCATTTGTTATAAGTGAAATATTCCGATATTCAGATCGTTCTGTTTGTTTTCTTCATTTTGTAGCTCATCAAAAGGTCTTATTGCATTAGAAACCGAACTAAATCTAAGTTTAGTGTGTGCTAGAGCCTGCAGTGCAACGTTAATGATGCAGCAGTATGGACTGGCACCAGGAATGGGGAGACTGGCTGCTGCGCTTGCGTCCCACTGCTATTTCTGGCATGCAGAGGCTGCGCGGTGTGGGATGGGTCAAACGTAAGTCCTCAGAGGTTGCCGTGTCTTCCCCGTGCTCTGACATTCATTCTGTCTGTCACATGCCTCCTGATATGTGGCTTTCTAATTTTTAATACACCCTCATCACCAGTGGAGCAACTGGAAACAAGTTACTGTATACTAAGACCTCTGTGTCTGGTTTCACAAGAGGGAAGACGTGCGTTCAGGCTTCACCCGCGTTAAAGTGCCCAAGCCTGTTATTTCTTTGACAGCAATACCTAAATGGCTTGGCATCCTGTAGACACCCTCTGAGAAGAGACTCCCTGATCGCAGGAGCTTGAAGTCTAAACAGATAAGGCAGACAGAAGGGGAAACACAAAGAGATGGAGAGAATTGCCCAAGCCACTTAGCATGTCTAGCGGCAGGACTGGGAATAGGGACAGGTCTTTTTGGTTCTCACCACTGTCATCACCACTGTTTTGGGATTCCTCCATCTGGCTCTGCACCAGCTCCTGCCTGTCCCTGTGCAGGGATCGGTGGTTTGGGCCCACCAACCAGCTGTAGAAAACACTTTGGTGTCCTACCTTTTGGTTGAATTCTCCAGCAGTGGCTGAGACAAGTATCTTCTTGAGAGATATATGCCCTCATGCGTTGTTTGTTGATTTATTAATTGTGCCAACTGCAGGCTGTAGCTGGAGAATCAGAAAACCTGAAACCCCAAAACATTCCTTTATCTTTTGAATAATTCTACCCTCTCTTTAAATAGAGCCAGTGCTGGTGGAAAGGGCTAAAGAGTAGCAGGAGGTCAAGGGGATGACTGTTCTTTGAGGTTCTTCAGGTGCCTGTAAGCTCTCAAGGCTCTTTACCAACATTAATTAATACTCAGATTCATATTCCTTTCTTATGTGCAGTAGTTCTGCTACCTGTTTTATGCAGAAAAGAACTGGAAACAGACTGTAGGACTAAGGGTCCACAGTGAACTCATGGAGGAGATGAACACAGATCTGCAGACTGCAGGCAGCAGCTCTCCAATCTCTGAATTAGAATCTTTCTTTTACACAGTGACCCTACCACTTCTTTCCTATTGGAACAGGATTCATTCTAGCTCTTAAGTTGCATGGATTTCTAGTTTTAATTTAACCTTCTACTTTTCCTGCCAGGCCAGGTTCCCAATGATCCCTATACTTTATGTATGTTTTGAGTCTAGGTTCAGCAGTTTAGATTCTAATTGAACAGCCTCAACATGTACTATTTATATTAGGTTTTTTCAGAATAAGAAAAATCCCCTTGATTGAGACACACCAACTTTTCCATACAATGATTCTATTGAAATTTCAAGTCCATTTAAAGAAAGCATTACATGTTGACCATCCAGAAAGTTTTGTAGCAACCTTGTAGGTTAACGTATTAATACAGCTCCAAGTAAATGAAATGCTTCAAAGTTTGTCAGTATGAAGCCTCAGTTCTTAAGAAATTATGTCACCAGCTAAAACCAGGTTAGATTTATCTGAAATTTTAGTGAGGTTCTTGGAGCTTTACTTATGTTTTAAGTGAATTGAGTCTTAGTTGAAACTTGTGCCGAACCCAAAACCATGTGAAATATGAGGGTTTTCAGGTGCTTTATGTGATATGGAAATGGAAAATCGTGCAAGAGTAGATGTAATACTTTTTTGCGTGACTTCACCCACATAACTTCGAGTTTCACCTTGAGTTTCTGAGTTCAGTTAAAGCCGGTTTGTATAGGAGAGCTCACGGATAAGGGCAGATTGTTAACTCCCCATAGACAAAATACACATAACTCTCACTACTGTGTTCCCACTTCTCATATTCTTTCTTTGATATGGGATGAATTCATCTCTGTAACCTTTCTTTTCAAATCCCTCTGTTATATCAGCTGACCTTTTGTCGAACTTTTCCCACTTCCCTAAACTTGGTTTTCAGTAAGGGCACGGAATGGTGCAGTATTCCAGGGCTTTCCACCAGGCCCTGCTCACCAGGAGATGATTTTGCTTTTTACTGCCTTTACCCACATTGGGATTGAAGTGGTTTATGGCTTTCTCACCTTTTTATTTGAAGTGTTCACCATTATCCAGGCATTGATATAGTTGGAGCTCAAAGATCTCTGAGGAACCTGTTAGCAGAACCTGGGGATGGAGAGAAAATACAACAGCCACTTTTTAAGCTGTGGTGCTCTCAGGGTAGTGCATGGGTGAGGTAATTTGCTAACGTATGTCCTGTTGGATTGGGAGGTGAAAGTTGGTGGGTGAGGCAGGTTAAAAGGAACTGCTGGTGATGAAAGAGAATTTACGTGACCTTCAACCATACTCCATCCTCTCTGTTGACTAACAGGGTAGCAGATGTGGATAACAAAAGTAATATGGACATAGCAGCTTGCTTCTGAGGACCTCCAAACACTCCAAGGACATGGTAAGCATTGTCATGATGGTTCTGTATTATGGGGAAGCAAGGCAGAATCACAGAATCATAGAATAGTTAGGGTTGGAAAGGACCTTAAGATCATCCAGTTCCAGCCACCCTGCCATGGGCAGGGACACCTCACACAAAATCATGCCACCCAAGGCTCCATCCAGCCTGGCCTTGAACACTGCCAGGGATGGAGCATTCACATGTTCCTTGGGCAACCCATTCCAGTGCCTCACCACCTTTACAGTCAAGAACTTTTCCCTTGTATCTAACTTAAACTACCCCTCTTTAAGTGTGAACCCATCACTCCTTGTCCTGATGAAGAGTCCCTCCCCAGCATCCTTGTAAGCCCCCTTCAGATACTGGAAGGCTGCAATGAGGTCTCCAAGCAGCCTTCTCTTCTCCAGGCTAAAGAGCCCCAACTTTCTCAGCCTGTAGGAAGAGGTGAGGTGATTTTACCACTGACTTGATGTGCAATTGGACAAGGGTGTACAAACTGGTGAGGTTTAAATTAGGAGCTTTTGGTTGTCAAACTCCTCGTTTGATAGAACATTGTCCTGGTAGCACTCAAATCACGACACCATTGCCCAACTTTGCTTTCCATTGGTGTGCCCCACGCTATGAATTTATGCCTTTGCTCACATTGTTTGAATTCTTCATTTGTATTAGTAAGTACTTTTTACTTCACTGAAGACATTCATTTGGAAACTAATGTCATATATTACCATATATGCTGTCCATACAGCAGAGACATTACTGTTGTCTGAAAGGTACTTCCTAAGTGATTGCTTTATACTTTGATACTGACTTGTCTCAAAAAGGCCTTAAGGTTTTATAGTCAAAACTTAAGTCCCTAAAGCATCCTCTCTGGCTGAGGACCCCTTCACCTATGTGTCTTCTTTGTATCGCTAATTCCAACTGGTGTCAGTAAAAGCAGTGTGCCTTTGCTTTCTGCTATAACTGTGCACCTACCAAGGTCTCCCCTTCCTTCCAACCTGTCTCTCTGATTAAATTCATTCTTGCTTTCTGTTTTCCAGCTTCACTCCGCAAACCTCCTCTCACTCCATTTCTGCAAGAACCTTTCCTGCAAAACAGGTCCCTGATAAGGTTAGTGAAGGGGTTACCAGTTTATTTATACTCACCTCGGCATGGCAGCAGCCAAACATGGTAAGTTACTAGATTGTTAAATAGCTTCAGTCTTCTGGTGCAGTTCAGAGTACCCAAGTGTGTACCTCACGGTTGCTCTGGACTGATCCCCAGTTCTGGTGGTGTTATTATTCCTTCTTAATCTCTCCACACTGGTAATACGAACAGGCATGCTCAGGACTAAAAGGACTGCAGAGACTTGGCCCCTTTTTAGATATGAGAACAAGTTTCAGGCCTCTTTCAGTTGTGCTTATTTCAGTCCAAAAGACAAAAACCAGAACAAAAGAGAAATAGGGAGTTGTGGAAACCCCTCAAACTTTCTCTGCTGAGATTTCAGATTCCTGGTGGTGACAGTGCCTTGCGATGCTGCCATTGGTGTTTCCTTCTGCTGTGCCTGGCACGAACGATCCCAAAGCAGCGAGCTAAGTTAAAATACATGGCTGTGATCAAAAGAGGATGACACCTCTATCTTTTTTTGTGCCACCCCGGAGGCCCTTAGGTTTGGAATTTGAGTCTTTGAACAACAAGGTTACTGGACCCTAGTAAATGAAGTGTCCGGATGTTAGTGATGATTCATAAAAGCAATTAAAAAAGGAAAGTGCTTTTCCATTGGGCGTAATGTCTTGGTTGGACGATGTCCTTAAAGTGTGTGTGTAATGTTGCAAATGCTGGTCAGTGGATAGTGACCGCTGTGTTTAAGATTATGGATCTGTTTCCAGCATAACACTTCTTTTCACATGGTTCCGATGACCAGAACTTGGGGGGTTTTTTTGTAGTTGAATCTCTCTCACTATTTTCTATTTCAAAGTAATTCCCATCTCTTCCTTCTTAAATTTGGAGGGGGGAAGGAGGGAGAAATCTACTGAGGATGTAACATTTTCCATGGGAGAAATGTGGGGTTTGCAACATAAATATTGGAGATGGCAGATAACTGAAATTCATTCATCTCCCCCCCCAGTGCTACTCTCTTGCATTTCAGCCCTGGCCCTCCACAAGCACGAACCACCTCATTTGTACAGCTTTCAAAGCGATTTTCAATGAGCAAGACTGAACTCGGTTAAAACATGATTAGGGTTATTGTTGTATACAAAGATCCATCAGCCCAGCCACATTACCTAAGCAAGAAGTAGACCCTGAGGCACACTCTACAAGCTTCTTCCTACATGGCTTTTCAAGTCGTCTCAACCAACCTGTTAGCATTTAGCAGGCTCTTAGGCTCTGCTCTTGCAGAGCAGACACTTCCAGTCTTACTGCCTTCTCCAAGGGGATGCTTCTCACTTCTCTTATGCATATTCCAGAGTTGGGGCTTCAATTTGCTTTGCCCTCACGTCCTGCCCTTGGTTATCCCATGCATGTATGCTATGGGAAGCAAAGTAGTTTACTGATTTATCATGGATCATTAGATGGAGTAACTATTCTTAAAACATCACCAGTATAGATACAATAATTAGAGATGTGCTTTTGTTAACATCGCAAGCCTCTACCCTCTTGTACAGTACCCTTGGGTACTAAATAATTACCCACTTTGTGTGGTTATCTAGCTCACTAATTACCCACAAAAATTGGGGTCAGGTGTTAACTGCTTGAAATAAGTATCCTCCAAAGACTTGGTGGAATTGTGTAAAGAAATCATCTGTTTGCAACAAAACTTTATCAAAAAAGGAAATTCGGACATTTTGGGGAAGGAAGAGAAGGGAACACAAAAAAAAGACGACAGAGATAAATTGGTCTGTGCGATGGCAAAACCTTGCACGCTGCTGTGATGATGGTGAGGGAGTGGAAGGATGCTTGGCAGATACAGTCTCTCTAATCCAGTCTACTTTTCCCAAAGATTAGATCCATCACTACACAGGGTTTGATTCTTCCCCTATCTAGATTGATGTCAGTCAGGATTATATCGGTATAAGTAAGAAAATTTGTATCCATGGACTGACTTCACCACCTCTTCTATCACCCAGGGACTTCTGCACTGCACCCAATGATTTGACTGCCTTGTATAAGTATTTCCATACATTTCAGCTGTTCCCTACTCCATATGCATGCAGGACTCCATCCTAAGGCTGCTGCTCATAAAATGTAGCTTGCTTTGAGTAATAATTTAATTCCTGTGTTCAGGGAGTTACCCCAGTGAGTCAAAGATTGCTAGATAGCCCCACCCTCCCCAACTTCCCAAACACTTCGGCTGCAGTCCCTTTCTCTTTGCCAGACCCACACAAGATGCCTAACCAGCCAGAATCCCAAGAGGCAGCTGCTCCTACCTCCCCGTTTTAGCCCCCAAAACGGGGGAATAAAGCCCTAAAGCCCTTGAAATACCAGGCACGTGTAACAGAGGGATATTTGATAGACTGTCTTCCTAACCTGCTTTCTTGCATAGGTGCTCTCTGCCTATAATACAAAGGAAAGAGATTTCAGTGGGAGTTGAGAAGGTGTTTCTGAAAATCCCAGTATGCACCCATTAGGGTATGTGGATACAAGGATACCTTTAAGCCCTAAGCATCTTTGCAGTGCCCAGCATAACAAAGAAACTGCCTTCTTTATTTATGTCTGTATTTTGCGCTAGGTGCTTCCTTCCTCTCTGCAGTGAGTACCACCTTCTGTTCCCACAAGCACCTTTTGAAACCTGTGTGGAGTCAGGTATTAGGCATCACCCACCCCACTGAGGGGGCAAGAATGGGTCTCAGGTAAGGCCCCGCATGGCAAGGTGGGTGCTGGGTCTTTAGGGCCATACCTGCGCTCCGCATTGTGTAGCGCATCTCTGGAAAACGCAGGGATCAGCCCCATAAAGCACAATGCAGATTTAGTCGTCATCTTTGTGTCTCTTCCCTCCCCCCCCCCCCGCTCTGCTCCCCGCTGATGTTAACTGTCTGTATTATTATTTATTGTTATCAAGGGATTTGGTTTGATCAATGAAGTGTATATGCGTCTGACGGACATTCGGAGAGGAAATGCTTGGAGAATGAGTAACATGTCTGCAGTGGAGGGTGTGTGTGAGGGAGAGAGGGAGCATCGGTACTAGAAACATTGACTGATGAGTTCATTTTAAAATCCAAGGGCATATAGCTGGTAAATTAGCACATATTGCAAATATAGTCTGGTGTGAGAGGCAGCAGTGCTGCCATTGAGCAGAGGGGTGGGTGTGTGTGTAGGGAAAGGGGGGGGGGTCGAGGAGAGGAGATTGTCAGCTCTAAAGTCATCACGGGCATGAGCCAGGCAGTCTGCCTGCTTCAATGCAGACGTGGGGCGTGCGATTTCCACGGGCGGCTGCGGGCTGCAGTGTGGCGGGGGGGGGATACAGGGATGGGGGGGAGAACCGAGCTATAGCAGCGGTGGATTTTATTGTTTTAAAGCCCAGATCCAGCCAGAGGGATGCCAGGCGAAGGGCTGCAGCCCCAACACTTCCCCCTCCTTCCATCTCCTCCCCTCCCGGACGTCTTTAGGAAGGCGGGAGCGGGTGCCCGGCTGCCCGGGAAGATCCCGGGGCCGCAAGGACGGGAACCGGGATGCGGCCGCGGCGACGGGTTTCACCCTGGAGCTTAAGAGATTAATGGGGAGGGGTGGCTGGGGCTGGTCTGTGTATGTGTATGTGTGTGTATGTATGTGTATATGTGTGTGTGTGTGTGTGTGTGTGTGTGTGTGTGTGTGAGGCTGGCGGCGGCGGCGGGGGGAGCCGAGTCCTTATTCTGTTAAAGATTTAAGTAGGCATGCAAGGAATCTCTAGGATAGTTGGCAAAGGGCGAGGGTGGGGAGGGAGGGAAGGGGGGGGGGGGGGGGGAAGGATCCAAAAGAGTCTGTAACCAGACACTGAAGCTTTCCAGGAGTGAGAGTGTGTGAGAGAGACGGAGACAGAGCGAGAGGAA